GTATGCGCGAATATAAAGCGTAATCAAGCGAATCTTAGGACAAATGTTGCAATTGTCGGAGGACACATATTTCTATGCGCTTTGATGAATAAACTTTTCTGTCTGTAACATCCCCGAAAAATTTCAATTTTCAGGTGCTGATAAAAAAGACTCCAGACTTATCGTTATACTGGTTTTTGGTTCCTAGTGTATAAAAAAGCAAAAGGAGTTTTTCCTTTTCTAGAAATACAAATACAAATAATAAAACACTATAAATTAAAACTATTACTGTTACGAATTTATTTTTTGTCTTATAATTCTATTATACTGTATTATGAAAATACCATCATCGTTAATAGACAACAAACCCGTTCCTTATTGGAATGATCAAGTTGCGGACTGGTCAAGGAAATTATGGTTACCAATTGCAGATTTACCTTCGTTGAACCAATCAAACAATGGAACATGGTTTTCTCAGACAATATTACCAAATATCAACAGGAACTATCTTGAAATTAAACATACAAAACTAAATATGGATGATAATGATGACAGTGAAAGTCATAATGGCAAGAAAAAAAAGCTTCAAACAACATGATGGGCAAAACGAAGAAAAAAGAAATCATTAATACGCTCAATTAAAATTAGAGTATATCCAAACAAAGCACAAAAGGACTTATTAAAACATTGGATAGGTTGTGCGCGACTTGTCTATAATATGGTGGTTGCAAAATATAGGCGTAATCATCGTATGAATAAACAGTTCTTTTTTCGCATTCTCCTCAAACACCGCAACAAAACAACAAAAGAGTGGGCTTTTATGGAAATAGTTCCTTATGAAGTATTAGATCATTCTATTACGAGTGCAATTTTGGCTCGTGATGAAGTTATACGATGCAATAATGAATTGCGAAAGCAAGGTCAACTACAAGGTCAACTATCAACTCACAAATTACACTTTATTTCAAAAAAGGTATATTTTTGAGCTAATTGTCATTATTATTATATATTTTATTATTCATTCATATTACTTATTATATGTAGAGTGAACAACAAACAATATCTATCTGAGCTCAATATTGTTGTGAGCCACTTCATTTTTATTTACGGCTCCTATATAATAAACAAATTAATTCTGAGTATCCACGATATAAATCTAATAATATAAAGCCACCACTTCACCATGAACACCAACGGAAAAATAATGGTTGGCCAAATCAAGAAGGAAAAATAACGCTAGATTCAAAACTTTCATATAATAAAAAATTAGGACAATGGTTCTTTGTTTGGGTTTATGATAAAGAAGTCTGCGAAAACCAAGCAGATTATATCTACGCGGCTGCTATAGACCCCGGTATCCATACTTTTCTCACTTGGTATTCACTAACTATTGGACATGGAAATTTTGGAGATAATGACATTAATCGCATTTTTCGCCTAGGACTTGCTCTTGATGATCTTATTTCACGCACCTCTAAGGCGCTAGCAAAAACACGTAACTCTATGAAATGTGCTCAAGCACGTTTAAAGAAACAAATTCAAAATTTAATAAATGAAGTACATAAAAAATCAGCATTGTGGTTAGCTCGTACCTTTGATATAATTGTGTTACCAGTATTTGGTTGCACACGATTGTCTCAGAGACAGAAAAGAAAAATTAATAGCAAGACTATACGAAAGATGATGAGTTGGGCACATGCTAGGTTTAGAAAACATCTAGTATCTAAAATGGAGGAATTTGGCAAAATTGTTATAACATCAGTTTCAGAGGCATACACAAGTAAAACATGCAGTCGTTGTGGTTATATTAAAGATAATTTAGGAGAAAATAAAGAGTTTCGGTGCAATAAATGTGGGCTCCAAATTAATAGAGACTTAAATGTTGCCCGAGGGATTTTCCTTCGGGCTTTGCTTGATGGGGCCATAGTTATACAAGCATAGCTATGCTAATTGATTGATTTTATTTAGTTATAATTAATCAATTCAATCCATCCGAGTGCAAGAAAATGAATAAAATGTAAGTAGAACAGTGGACAATATAATGTTTGGAATTATTACAAAAAGGTTAAGAACAAAAATAAACAATTTAAAAGGATTCATAGTTGCTAGCATAATTTAATTTTATTGTATTTTGTAAAAATACTCTCTGAATTTCATCCCACGTATTTGCGTAAACTGGGGCTTTAAATATATTAGCAAAAAATAATAGAGTTTAAATTCTTTATTAGACAAAATTTAAAAATGCAGCAGTACTAAAAATAATTTGAATCGCAAAGTATTTTTATTGAATAGAATTCAGATTTATATGTGATTTTACGCTCAAAAGAATTCTTAATTGTATTTTTAGAACAATTTAATTTGTAAATTTGAGACACATATTCAGTTTTTTATTAACGAATTTGATTTCAATTATACGATTGAGATCAATTCTCTAAATTAAATGTTAATTTAATTTTGAACAGTTCTTAAAAAATATAAAATGAAACTTTAATACAAATAAAAGTAATATATATAAGATTAGATCCTACAAAAAGACTTAATGAGGTACTAAACATAAACAATGAATAAAGTAAAAAATAGACAAAGAATTGTTATAGAGTATAACACTTTAATTAAAAATATAGTAAACAATCAAGAAAAAATAGAAATATTAAAAGAAAAAATAAAATATATTTCTAATACTAAGTTAACAGAAGTAGTTAAGACAACTTAACTTCATTAAAAGAATTAAGTTATAATGTTGAAATACCAGCACTAGAGAAAAAAATTAAAGCATTAAAAAATTATGACGAGTTACAAAGTAAATTTAATACATTATTTGATACAAACAAAAATTTAAGAGAAACAAAATTTCAAAGTTCTAAGAAAATCAATGAGCTAAATAATAAATTATCAGGAAAAGAAAAACAAATACTCTTTTCAAATTCTAAAGAAGATAAAAAGCAAAAAGAACTATTTGAGAAACATATTAGAAATTTTAGAGAGATAGAATTACAAACTAGATTTTCAATTGAACAGAATAATAAAAAACATTTTGTGAACAAGAGAACTGAGATTATAATCAAGAAAATCCTGAATGATTTTGAGATACGAAAAAAAACATTAGAAAAAGAACATGAAGCTGGTAGGTTAATGAGAGAGACAAATATTTTATGCACAAAAAGTGATTTAGCGATAAATGAAATTGCAACTAAGTATGGAAAAGATGTAGTACAATTAGAAGCAGATGTAGAATATAAAGTTGTTAAATTAAAGAATGATATTGAATCCAAAATAAATTCTGATTTGGAAAACCACATAAATTTTGAATCCAAAAAATTAAAGTTAGAGAAACAAATTGAAGAACTAGAAAACAATAGCGATCTCAAAATGTTGCAAACAATATTAAATAAATTAAGTCAAGAAAATAGAAACTTAAGAAAATTAAATCATGAAAACTCTAATTACATAAGTAAGCTAAATGAACAAATAATTTTTTCAAGGTCTAGGAAAAGGAATGATGAAAATATTAAAAAAATGAACATGATATAATAGCTAGCCAGAAAAGTGCTGAAGAATTTAAATTAATCAATCAACAACTTCAAAAGCGTTTCTAATATGTAATAATTTAAGAAAGTTTCTTAAAAAAACTAATCAACTGTTAATGTTCTAATTTATATTTAATGTATACCAGTATATTTTTTTCTTTAATTATTTTAAAATCCGAGTTTAATAATTAGTGAGAATTGAAAAAAATTTTCAGATTACATTTGTAAACATTTGTATTTTTTTGATATCAAAATTGAGAATTTATAAAAATTTTATTATCATATTAAAATGAAATTAATTTATATTATTAGATCAATTAGATTATATTAATTTCAATTCGAACTCGATAGGATAATGGTCTGAGACACGCATTGCGAGTTTTGTGATCAAGGCTGGATTGTATTTATCTTTCTAAAATTTGTCAAATTCTCATACCCTGATATCACCAATCCATCTGTTCTTATTCTTTACCTCAAATATGAATCTATCATAGGCTGCGCATTTAGAGGCAACAGTAGTATCACTTGAATGACTAATTCCCCAAATTAAATTATTTTGAGCCAAAATTTTATCTAGTTCTGCTTGCTTTGTTTTATTAAGATAAGAATCAGAAGCATTGAAATCACTCATTAGAATTATATGTTCGCAATTTTCTCCAAAAATTGGTGCTTATTTTGTATTCAAACATAATAGACTTAATAAACGAGAAAGACTACTCTTTTTTACTGATTTTTTTTTAACATATGCGTATATATCAGTCACTAATGCTTTTATTTCGTTGTATGTTCTGGCTGTGTATGACATCCAATAAGTGTAATTTTTACATGTGGTTTTTTCAGATGCTGAAATTGGGCAACGTAAGCATTCTAACAAATTGACTATTATTAGCAATATAGTTATCTAATAATTTCCACTTATTCTGTTTATATAAGTAAAGATATCTCTCTTTATATGAATGTTTACCAAATCTTTCTTCATTTAGGCTTTTACCAACAGGATAGCTTAGGGTATATGAATATGGGACAGAAGAGTTTGATACTATATTGACAAGTTTCTCAATCATTTCTTCATCATTTAAATGGACTTCTTGGCAAAGAATAATATCATATTGTCGAAGAATAGGAATGATGATTCTTATTATATTATTATTTTTTAACTTTTTAGGACCAAATGCTCGGATGTTAAAGGACCCAATCATACTAATTCCATCTTTGAATGCATAAGAACTCAATGGTTGTAAAGACAATTTTTTTAATAAATTATTGTCTTCTGGATTCTTTTTTTTGTTATTATGACTAACCATGCTTTTACGATTAGTTTTGGATAATATGATACAAAACATATATATTGACAAAAAAACTTTTACCAATA